GCCTCATCTGCTCCTTCCTCGGCACTTGTGTCTTGCCTTAGTGCCCGGAGCTGCTGGTAGGTCCTGCGTGAGCCTGGCGGGAACGGGAGGGCTGGGCTGGGGGCCGGTTGCGTTTAGTCTCGCTTGGGCTCCGTGCGTAAGCTTTTGGCTTCAAGCTGTAACGGTTAAAAGCAGTTTTTCTTGAGTAAGGAGCCACTTTCCCGCCTGTGTGACAGCTCCGGGTGGGAGCGGCCTGCCTGCTCCTGGAGCAAGGGAGGGCTCTGGTCTGGTGTCTGAGATGGGGCTGGGAAAGTGAGGTGATCCCTTTGTGTGTGTCCCCTCGTGGTGCCTCTCTCTGGTGAGGAGGCGCCGCTGCTGGTCCAGCGATCTGTTACTTCTGGCTGTTCAAGTGCTACAAGTCAAGCTGAGGACTGAGTTGCTAAGCTTGGAGGAGTGTGCTTTTCTAGTGCTGAGGAAACGGTTAAACACTACAAATAGGTGATAAAGCAATTCAGGGGTGTTAGATCGTTCTGTGTGAGTTTACTAGTGAGATCTTGCTGCTTTCCTGAAACACATGAGCTCTGCTGGGGCTATGAGCCTAATGTGTACTAATGCTTTCAAACACCAGGGTCTGTAGATAAACTACTATGAAATAGTATAAAACAGGGGTTTGTCCCCTCTCCTCTGGAGGGCAGTACATGGGGCACTAGGTTGTCTTTCATGTGATTAGTTTAAAAACTGCTGTAGTGGAACAGGTGACAAGAATGCTTTCTTTTTTTTCTGTATAGGCTTTCCAGAGTGATCTCTTCAACCTGAAGATGGCAACACTAGTCTTTATTGATCAGGAAAATGGTGAAGTTGGTGCTACTAAGAATCAGATGAAACTCCCTTCAGGATCCTGTGTGTATATGCTGCCCTAAGGCATTAGGGCCTCAAGTGAAGTGCATAAATGTATAAAGCAATTCAGGGGTGTTAGATCGTTCTGTGTGAGTTTACTAGTGAGATCTTGCTGCTTTCCTGAAACACATGAGCTCTGCTGGGGCTATGAGCCTAATGTGTCCTAATGCTTTCAAACATCAGGGTCTGTAGATAAACTACTATGAAATAGTATAAAACAGGGGTTTGTCCCCTCTCCTCTGGAGGGCAGTACATGGGGCACTAGGTTGTCTTTCATGTGATTAGTTTAAAAACTGCTGTAGTGGAACAGGTGACAAGAATGCTTTCTTTTTTTTCTGTATAGGCTTTCCAGAGTGATCTCTTCAACCTGAAGATGGCAACACTAGTCTTTATTGATCAGGAAAATGGTGAAGTTGGTGCTACTAAGAATCAGATGAAACTCCCTTCAGGATCCTGTGTGTATATGCTGCCCTAAGGCATTAGGGCCTCAAGTGAAGTGCATAAATGTTGTTATTTGCTGTTTTGAACAGTGATAGTTTTATCATATCTACTTAACTAAACAATTCTGCTAAGTTCATAAAGTTCTATAAAAAAGAACACAGATCTGTGCTTTTGTCATAGAAAGGCCTTATAATTGTAAATAATTCTTGACACCTAGTCTCTCAGAACATGCACTTATTGAAGCAAGCTTTAGGCTTTATTTGGTGCTAGTTTGCTTTTTTCTTCTCCCTGCTCCCCAGCAAAAGTCTTATCTGAAAGAATGCAAGTTAACACTCCGCTTCCTAAAAAGACAATCAGTACCCCTTCAGCCATGCCTTGCTCTGTCAGAAAGGCTCTTGGAAATGTGAATAGAACTGAAGGAGTCACAAGCAAGAAGGAAAAGATAAGGGAGAAAAATCAGCCTTGCTCTGCAAAGAAAGTGAGTATGACACAGGTGTAGTTTACCTACTGTTGTGGCTTAACTCTGGCAGGCAGTTAAGTACCATGCAGCTGCTAGCTCACTAACCCCTTGGTGGATGGGGGAGGGAATTGGAAGGGTAAAAGTCAGAACTCATGAGTTGAGAGTAAGATAACTGAATAAATAAAAATCTCAAAGAAAAACAGAACCAATTGCTTGCCCCCAGCTGACTGATGCCTTGTCAGTCTGAGCGATGGCAGCCCTGGCAAACTTGCCCATGTTTTCATTGCTTGGCATGTTGTCACATGGTATGGAATATCCTTTGATCATTTGGGGTAAGCTGTCTCTGCTGTGCCCTCTCACAAGTTCTCATGCACTCCCAGCCTCCTCCCTGGTGGGTTTGTGAGAAGCAGGAAAGGCCTTGATGCACTGCTCAGTAGTAGCTGAAACAGCTGTTACCAACACTGTTTTAGTAACGAATGCAAATGTAGCATTATATGAGCTACTGGGAAGAAAAATTACTCTACCCTGGCCAGAACCAATGCTGCTACATTGGCACAGGTAGTGGGGACACCTAATGGCAAACAAGTGTATTCAGTGAGAATAGCCTGAGTTAATGCCTTGGTCACATGTTAAGTATCAGGAGTTCAGTGTTATGAACATGAATGTTCTAGTGCAGTGATTTGTTGCCACTGTATGCAGCATTGCACTGCATACACTCAACTGAAGAGTTTGCCCATCTCCAGCTGCTTTGTGTTGAAGGTATTAGAGCTCAGGTATAACTGAGAACTGCATGACAACTATAGGACTGTGTCACAGGAAAGCTACTACAAAGTTACTACAGTAGCTCAAATAATGTGCCTTTCTCTTTTTAAGATAACTGAAAAGACTGCTGGATTAGAAAGCTGTGATGCAGTGGCTGAAGAAGACTGGCCAGAAATAGAAAACATGTTTTCTTATGATCCTCGAAGTAAGAACTATTGGTGTCATTAAAATCAGGCTTTCATGAGTGTTAATTTGTTGTAAGACTTAGGCCAAGATATGGTGGCAAACAATCCAGCCTTGCATTTCTCTGGAGCATGTCCTAGAACACAAGGCTGCTTGCTACTTCTGAAATGCCATTTCCTTCTTCTTTACGTATTTCTAACTGGTGTAGCTGTGCTCCAGATATGTAGCATTTTGAGTCCATTACCATGGTGGCAGGAAACTAGTTCCAAATAACCATCCTATAGCCTCTTAATTCATTAAATTGTAACTAGTAGCCAAGTATTCAAAGGAATATATTAGTGGTACTTAAGAGTAGATTTCTCTTAAGTGTATGCCAAGGTTGTAATTTGTAACTGAAGAGTTTCGTATTGCTGTAGGATGTAAGAGTTGAAGACAAAACTTCTAAAGCTGTTTTAGAATCTCTGCAATGGCTGTGCTGTCTCAGTCCTTCAAAGTGTCTTTAAACAATCCAGTTACTGTGGAAGTGAGTGTGCAAAAACTACTGTACCAAGGACTGTTTCAGGGTTGGTGAAATATGTTTCAGGTTGACTTGATAATTTCTTCCTGATCACTATACAAAAAGCTTCTGCTTTACATTAGCAGTTGCTATGTACTCTGCTCTTATGATAAGTGTCCCTGTAAGGGGTTTTATGGACAACTAAGGTGTAGCTGCCAATAAATACCCCTTGAAAGGGGACTCTTGGATTCTATTGTTTTGGATCTGCCACCACTTCATTTTATCTAATAGAATTTGCAGTTTCCCAGGCTGCTGCTGTTGTACACTGATAATGAACTACACTGTCTTTCTCAAACAGCCTTTGAAAGTTTTGATCTTCCTGAAGAGGACAAAGTGAGCAATATCAATCTGCATGGTGTTCCTCTCATGGTATTTGGAAGGACATATGACAGATACGTGAACATGGTTCCTTCACCCATGAAGATTGAAGAGATTTCATGGGAGTCTAGTAAGTGGAAGCTTATAATGAGTTTTGGTGCATGCAGTGCTCATCAGTGGCTTGGGAGGGGAGCTAGCTGGCTGCAGAAGTGAGCTGCCCCTGCTCTTCTACCTGCCAGCATAGCATCCTAGTATCAAACAACTTTTGCTGTGTAGTCAATCCAAATTTGGATTGGTCAACCCTACTAGTTCAGCTGGTGCTCCTGGTCATGTTGTTTAGCAATCTTTTGCAATGTGTTGCTAACTAATCAGTTAGGTGGATCTGACTTATGCAATCACACAGTATTTCCTTTAGTTGTTCATGAGGCTTATGCTAATCCCCAGGGAGTTAGCTTATGTTCGAGTATAAATTCTGAGTTTCATAAGAAACTGATTTGCTTTATTTCTAACTTGCAGACTTGCTACAATCAACAGACTTCCTTGCTACCCTGGATGAGATCATTGACATGCCACCTCCCAATTATGACCCTGAATGTGTATTCTGAAGCTTCCATTGAGTTTAAATTTAATGTATTTCTATTTTAATAAAGATTAATCTCAACTGTATAATAACACTGGACTTGTGTGTATTTCCAGTAGACCTGACATGTAGATAGATAACACTTTGAAAAGGAGGCTATTTGACAAGCAGTTAAAGTAGAGCCTACTAAAGAGCAGTTAAAGTAAAGCTTCTAAGCAAGACTATAGTTCACTGTTTTGAACCATATCCAGGAGTTAGTACCTGCTGATGAGACATCATGATCATTTAAGACCCTCTTCTGACTTTGCTGTTTATGTAACTTTATCCTTTATCCACTAAACATGCAAGGGTTTAAAACTATTCTAATATCTAGTGTAAGTATTAGACCTGGTATGCTTCTGGCATTTTTTTTCTTGAACTTGTTTCTCTTCAGGGTGCTTGTCTAAGGAGGTTATGTTGGATTCTTATGCAGCTGTGGACTTCTTGTTTTTATGGATGGCACTGTGGCTTTTGCTGCTTGGTACTGTCTGTGCTCTTGAGGGAAGGCTGGTGGGAACCCCACTCTTCAAGTTATAAGCACCCAAGCTCAATAGTTGTTCATTTTGCATTGTAATGGCCTCAACTCCAGTTCTTCATCACCTAAGACAAGTCAGTTATAGAAGGTGGTCAGCATTTGTCATGCAGAGGAGCATTTTCTGTAGGATCCTTTTCTTGGTATTTCATCTGTTACTCTACAAATACTGTCTCTTATGGCTGCTGGCAAGCAACACAAGTCAGTCAAAGTGAGGTCTGAGTAAGAAGCAAGGAAAATTGTCAAGATTTTATCTGTAAACTGTTGAGATCAAAAAGGTATGTTTCATCATGTAGCTCATCCGGGCCATAATAGTGTTGCTAGGAATCTTGAGTAGAGAATATAAATCTATGCAGCAACACAATGCAAAAATCAGTTTTCTTTATACTACTACTATGACTAATAATATTTAGTGTTTAGGGATTGGTTAGCTTTTTAAAATGTTGGCCATGATACTTCTTGTTTAAAATATTCAAGATAAATGCTAATGGCCAATTTTGGACACATCCATGACAAAACCCAGAGATAATGTCTGTAGTAGATAGATGAAATGAACTTTGATTTTGGTTAGATGTTAATTCTTGGCACTGGGAATATTTGTTTCCTACAGTAGTGTACCTCATCTGGGGCTTTGTTTTCATTGGGATTTCTGGTTAGTGCAGGTGCATGTTTTTGCTTTTATAAGGCTTTATTTTGTCAATATTAATCAGAAATATGTTTGTTTCAGCTGGCTTTTATTGTCCCCATTTTATGTACTTTTCAACTCAGCTGGCTGGGGTTAAAGAGAAATGCACATTTCTGTGACTTGCACGAGACCAAAGCTGTGGATTGAGCTTCCTGCCTGCACTCGAGGAAGTCACAGTCACAAAAGCATTTTCCTATTTAGAAAATGTCAACTCTCTTGGCCTCAGAGCTGCAAAACCACCTGGGGTCAGCCCATGGAGTGCTGTGACACAGGCAGCCTGGTGGCTGGGAATTTTGCAGTGCTTGGGGCCATCTCAGTTAGGCAGTAACACTGCCTTCTACTGGTGGCTTAAAAAAATCTACTTCCCTAACTGGTGTTACGTTGAGACACGCAGCTTTCTGCACTTAAAACGTTTTATTTTCTGTTAGGGTTTTGTCAGGAGTTGCCATTGAGTTCAACATGGTGTGTAAGCACTACCCTGCACAGCAGAAGTCCTTTTTAAAACTGCTTGTAATGTTTTGGTTTACTACTTGGTCAGTTTACACTTCCTGCAAAGATCTATTTGGGATTTTAAATGCATGGCTGTCATGAGAATGGATGCTTGATGGCTTGTCAAGCCTTAATAGGGCAGTGTGGCTGTGCACCATGACTGGGAAATCTGGATTGTAACCAAGCACACAGAGCAGGCACTGTTTAGTTGGCTATCACTCTGCAGAAGTGTCTTGATGGTATTCTAGCTGTGAGAATCACTTTAAATCCTTTCCTGAGTTTCTGTAAGGAGAATCTGGAGATTCGTATAAAATTAATCTCTTGGCAGGCTGTGCAAAATTACTTTAGTGCCCATCAGGTAATTCATCCTATTTGCAGCATCGTGGCAGCGGGGGGCACCGTGGTAACAGTGTGGATCAGGGCTTCTCTCATTCCTGCAACCTGACAACTGTGCTGTGATGATGTTTGCCTTTGGTACATCATGCACAGTGCAGGTACCTGTCCTGGGCTTCATTGCTTTGTTACTGTAAAATGGAGGATAACAGCACTCAGGAATTCAGTGGGCCTTTACCCTGGAACTCCAGGGCACAGTGTATCAGCCAAGGGCATTTTTATCTTCTATTGTTTAAGAAGAACAGAAGTTAGAAGCCTGGAGGCAATTGGTGTCTCCAGGGTTAGCAAAGCCATGGATCTGGAAACTTTCAGTTTCACTGTAGTTTTATCAATGTTGCCAAAGTTTTGTATAGAATTTCAATAGTGTCCCTCTAGCCCCAAAGTGGCACTCATGGTACTCCAGGAGACACCTGGCACTGGGTGGGTCAACATGTTTAGAATGAGGTTTATATACAGTTTAATTACATGGTATGCATTTAGTAACTGCTTGGATGGCATCTGACTGCAAGCATGTGTTTTTGCATGTAACTTTGCAAAGCTTTGATAAACTTGCTTCTAACTGCAGTTTGGGAGAAATTAAAAGCATGGTGGGCCTCTTGTGCTGGAATGATCTACAAAATTAGAGGGCAAGTTACAAAATGGCCCTACTGTGTATTTTCTTGCAGGCAAATTATGAAGAATGCCAGGATGGTATTTCATGGTGTTTTTTTCCTGCTTTGGTGTGAGTGTGCACCTCAAAAGAGGAAGGGAAGATGGGGGCATAGGGGGGAGAGAGTGAGCTGAGTTCCTGGGCACATGAAGCACAAGTTATCCTGTTCTTCCTTCTCTTGTAAACTCCCAGCTATCCACAGAAACACAAAACCAATGTGTCTGCAGCAAGGAACGTCTCTGGGACTGTTGCAGGGAAATCCCAATGGCAGGGCTGGGCAGGACCTTGCTGCTCTCCAGAGCAATGTGCAGTTCTCCAGCCTGTGGGTTGAATAATGTGGCCAACTTTAGAAGCATCTGAGCAAGTATGAGAAGCCTGTGTGGTAAGCAGGTCCCTGCTGACATCTGAAGAGCAGCACTGAATACTTCTGTGAGGCACTGATAATACAGCTGCTCCATGTGCTGGTGAATCATCCAGCTCAAGAGGGACTGGCTGTGACATGCAGCAGATCTCAGCAGGCACAAACACCCTCTGCTGGGATGTCCCCAGTTGGGGATATCACCTTCCAGTGGAACTGTTTCCTCAATAGGAGTATTTTCTTTGGCTGTTGTTCCAGCACAGGTTCTATGAAGTCTCCATGATTCAGTTTTGGAACAAGGAAAAAAACAAACCACAACAAAACCAAGCTTGAATTGGTTATTGTTTGGCTTCAGTTTTCTGTAAACCAGGTGAGCAAAACTGCTGTAGCTTTAGGAATCAAACTATGTTTAGCTCATCTATCATCTTGCTTCTTAATAAAATACAAGGTGCTGCTGGAATTTATTAGTTCTGAGGGTTTTATATTTGATGCAACCTCCTTTTCAAACTCCAATTAGCCAGAATTGGGGTTCTCTGTTCCAGCTGCTTGTGGAAACTCCAAGCAGGAGAAATAAGCTGTGATTCTCTCTGATGGATTCTGTTTATTTCCAGGGAATGTACTGAGTTCTGTTCATCTAAACATATCCAGCAGCAAACAGCGAGTGACTGTTTCTTTGTTCTGATCCTCTTTTCATCTTGAAAACTTTGCCCATGCAGTTGTCTTCCTAAGGCTGTTTAGGTATTGCTTAGTCCTTGCCCACCACCCTCCTCCTTAAAAAATACACAACCCTTCAGAGCTCTTTTTAGCAGCTGCATGATTCTTTGCTTGGAGTAGAGCCTGCTGTTTCATCTCCTGGATTTTGTGAAGGAGCTTATAAATACTTTATTTTAAATTGTCAATTAGTGTCCTGTTCTTATGAAATCATGATTTCTAATTCCCAAGGCTGACTTACAAAATTTTACTCTGTAAAACTTAGGAATGAAACTTAGTTTTGTAAATGCAATGTCCTCTGGTTCCAGAAGTGTGCTGACCTATGAAAGGGTGTGTGTGTGGAAGGGAGGGGATCAAAATGAAATGGAGACATTCCTCTGGGAAATTGATTCAAACAGCACAGCACTTTTCTAAGAATAATTATTCCACTGGAAGATGTTCAAAACTTGCAAGTTGCAACCAAGTACTGGATTTTGCCTTTTACCTTCTACCCAGTCTTGCCCCAGCCTTTTTTGTTAGATAAGAAATTCTCAATAGCTTTTTTCCGTGTTGGTAAACCTTCCTCTGAGTTGTTTTGTTCTTCTGTCCCCATCTTCCCATGGCTTATTCTGAGTGTCTTTTGAAACTAGGAAGCATCTGGAAGTGCTTTGCATTGAAATCTAATTGCCTCAAGGAATCTCATATTCTACTTCAGTTGTGTCCTTGTTCCCCAACCTGGTGCATGTGGCCATGCTGTGACTCTGTCATCTTTCTACAGTGGTTTGCTGCTGCACAGAAGATTATTCTCAGAAGAAGCAGAGGGACAAGGGCCTCTTCTAACACTTGAACTCAGCCAGTTCTGTCTGTCCTTCTCTATATTTTCTTTTTTTCAGGTCAAAATAGCATCCTATTTTTCTGATTAATACAGAGAGGAAAAAACAATGTGTTCTAATAGCTTCAAGAATATGCTTGAAACAGAGGACAACATTTTAGGAACTGATGCACTACTGTGGAACAGTTAATTCTTTAACTATTTTGCCCTATTTAGGAACCTACAGAAGCTGGTGAGAATTTGTTACCAGTCTTGGGTCTCAGTGCTTGTGTGACTTTCCGGGCTTAAGGGCTGAGCCTTATTTCCTGGTACCATAACTGGAAATGCAACATTTTTGTATGATGAGTAATACTGTCAA